TTAATAATAATAATAATAAAATCATCATTATCATTATTATCATTATTCCTACCTCATCTCGGGCAAACACAGTGTCCATGACGGAGTGTAGCGTGTTGTCCCCAGGGACATCCCTGTCACTGACGTAATCAACGACTCCGGGACACAGCAGGGCAGACGACGGATCAACGGACACAATCCTGGCGTGAGGCCTGGTGCTGGAGACCAGGTACATGTGAAGCTCGTCTGGGGCAGGTGTGTGGGGGGGGGGGAGTTTTGGGAGAATTTTAGTACGACACTTGTAACACTAATAGGTCATATAAGTGCCGGGAATAGAAACTGTGGCTAGAGAGTAACACACTAAGAAAAGAGGAAGGAGATATATGGACGGTACATGCGCATGTGTAACACAAACAGGTCATATAAGTGTCGAAGATAGGAGGTGTGGATCGAGAGTAATATACTAAAGAAGAAGGAGAGACAAGGAAGATGGCTGTTTGATAGGTAAGAAGGAGCAAATCACACAAGAGCTACCTCCAATGGTACAGGTAAGAACGTATTGTTTCATGCCTTTACATTCACGTATATTCTTTAGTGGTAGTCAATCATTGTTTTGAAGTTTGGCACTTTATCAGCTTTTGAGACAATTCTATCAAGTTGTTTGAAATCAATAATAGGGCTTTGTATAAACAAATACTGTTTCAATTGTTCGTGGTAATCATAGACTTAAATTGTGATAATATACTACTCTGGTCACTATTTGCTGTCTATCAAAAACCTTTTCTGCGCTGGTGCGGAACATGGTCTCACTGAATGTTTGACAGGAAAGTAAGAGCAAACCACACAAGAACGCCTGCCAACCACGATCCTGTGTGTATGGTAGGAGTTAATGCTTCAGGTTGCGAGCTGCCGTTCCACATTCTGCTATACCTAGGCTAGTCCATGTTTTGATGTTGTCCATCCATGTTACTCTGTCTTCCCGTAGCTCTCCTGTCCCACATTATATCCTTCCCTCAAGCAGCTCTTTCACAATGGTCTTGCGTCGTTTTAAGTGACAAAAGTATCGTATTTTTCTACATTTAATCGTCTTTTGTATTTAAAGCAGGTTTGTCTTTGTTAGTAAGTCCTGATATGTTTTGTTTTTACTGCTGTCCTTGCGTGTATATAATTAATGTATGGTTGTGAAAGTTCTTAATGCAGTTGAACTGATTTTCTTGTCACTGAGAAATGTTTTATCTTGTGTGAATGATATATTACGCTCAGTGATCATGTGATCGATGCAAAACACTCAGAGCTTATACTTACACTCGTATGGGATAGAGCGCTATATAAAAGCTACCAATTTTCTGCCGTCTGCTTTCCTCTCCACTTTCTGCCTCCACCCCCCACCCCCAACCTCTTTTGCCCCCTCCTCTAGGCTCCTGGCTCTTTCTGCAGCCGTTCTACTGCTACTCCTTGGCTCCTTCTTACTGCTGTCGTTGAACCACACCCTTGGTCTTATGGTAGGTAACATCTAAAATCTAACCTTCTCGGATAAGGGCGAAAAATGTTGATGGTCCTGTGTGTAAGTTGCGCACGTTAAAGATACATTGGTGGCCCACAATCGATAAGTGTAGGCTTCGGCCGCCACCTGGGCAAAATTTAAAACTTTCCTGTCAACGGAATATGTTTAATGTGTCTCGGGCGCTCATATGATCTTATGCAGAGGTGAGCGCCGTGAAACAGTTACTAAAACAAAACCAAAATAAAATAAACACAAACTTGCTTCAGCACCATTAAAATGAAAGTTATATATTTACCGGCCGCTGGTGGCAAGTCGTCCAGGAACAACGCCTGGCCTGTGCTCTGCTGCAGTGCTGACCGGTGGTGTAACGGTTGACCCACACACTCTAGTCCCGACTCACGACTGTCTGTACCTCCGTACACCTGCATGGACTGGCTAGTGGGCTGCTCCAAATCCTCTATGGCGCTCAGTTCAGAGGCAAGCTGCGGGGAAAAGATAGTTTGGAGGGGGGGGGGGGCGTGGAGTGATTGAATCTTTTTATTCATGCACGTACACACACGTGCACGCATGGACACACACACACACACACACACACACTCACACACGCACGCGCACGCGTGTGCGCGCTCATACACACACATGTATAGGCTTCGAGTGGCCGATGGTACAAATCAAATTAAAGTATTTTTTAAACAGCGTAAAATCTTTATAGGGCACTCCGTTAGCTCAGTTTGTATCACACTTGACTACAGAACGGATGGCCTAGGTTCAAATCCCAAACCGGGTGATTTTTACCTCGGGTCATTTTGGGGAGTTTTCAAGACTCTAGGTCTATTTATTTGGGAAGGTCTTATCGGAGGAGAAGGGTTTTAAATTCGGAAGTCCTGCCTCTTAAATAAACGTATACATGTTGTACTGTTTTGATGTTGTTGTTGTTGTTGTTGTTTTTGTTGTTGTTGTTGTTGTTGTTGTTGTTTGTTTTGTTTTTTCTTTAAAAGGAATATAGACAGCTTACCACACGTTTTTTTCTTACAGCTTACAACACTTATTTTTCTTCTTTAAAACGAATAGATAATATATAGACAGCTTACCACACTTCCATCAATTTGCTGCCTGACTTTGATGAAGAACTTGAAGAAGAAGCTGAGAGCTAGAGCACGTCTGTACTCCACCACTCCGCCTGGCGAGCCCGGGACTAGTGGGAGGTCACTGGCCAGAAGCTCGTTTGTCTCGGCAATGAGGCCTTCATTCCATTCCCTTGGAGAAACGCAACAATGGTTTAGTTTTAGTTAGAGTTTTACGACACTTGCAGCAGACTAAGGTCATATTATATTAGTAAGTGCCGAAGGTTACAAGAGAATAACATACACAAAGAAGAAGTCGGGCAGAATGACAAGGACGATAGGTGTTTGATAGGAAAGGAGGAGCAAATCATACCGTTATTATTATTATTATTATTATTATTATTATTATTATTATTGTTGTTGTTATTACTACTACTACTACTACTACTACTACTACTACTACTACTACTACTACTACTATCATATCATCATCATCATCATTATCATCATCATCATCATCATCATCATCATCATCATCATCATCATATCAGCGCCAAATTCCATTTTAAGAGCATTGTTACACTTCAAATAAAAGTATATTTATGGTTATAGAAAAAAAGAGACAAACACTGAAAAAAAACCCTCCTCTTCATGCAAGTACATGAGAAATATAGTCAACAAAGCCTGTATTATGACATTTGCGAATTAGACGTATCTACACGGAAAGTGTGCTTCTTTCGATATTTTACAAATAAGACATGCTGAGATAAGACAAGATACAATGGCACCGAAAAACAGATAAGATAAGATAAGATAAGATAAGATAAGATATTAGCCTACTAAGCATTATCCGTTGAAGAAAATGACGTGTGTTTTTAAAGAAAAAGGCACGTAATGCTTATCAGAAAAATTCTTGGAGAAAAAAATAATAAATAAAAACTGTGTACAGACTGGAAAATGTCGATTTCTTCTATTTCATTATTTTGACGAGCCCCTGGATTCACCACGATGTCTCACATAATATAATAATAATAATTGCATTTATATAGTGCATTCATGAATATCCATGCTCTGCACTGTAGTCGGAACATATCCATCTTTCACTGTCTATAATAACCAGGTACCCTTTTCCACCTGTGTGAAGTGAGGAAAATTCGTGCGAAGTGAAGTGAGGAAAAGTGAGAAAATTTCGTGCTAAGTGATTTTCCCAAGGACGCAATGTCGGACACTTGACGGGATTCGAACCCACGACCTTATGGTTGCAAGTCCAAGAACCTAACCACTTGGCCACCGACGCCACAATATTATGATGCGCATTTCTTTCAGAACGTACTTGCCGAGTAGCCCAGCCATAGTTGTCTCCGCCAGCAGAGTAGTCTCCCCCATGCCTCCAAACGCCAGAGTGGCTGACGTGACTTTGTTGTCCGCGGACAGAACTACCCGGAGCCCTGCGTTCACCAGAGAGATGTCGTCCTCTTTTCGTGTAGCCTGCTTGTAGCCCGCCAAGTACTCACGCTGAAAGCATTAGACGTGGTGTTAGTTAGTTTAGTTATAGTAAAGTTTTGCCGTGTTCGTAACTGAATAAGGTCATATGAGCGCCAAGGGGTTGATTTAAATAAAACAGAGAAGTCCAAACGGAGAATCAGGCTTACTCTGCTCACCTCTCTAGCTGCGACAGCACAAAGTCAGCTTCGACTATCAAGGCACCCCGGAAATAGCAGTTCACAAAAGAGTGACAAACATAGAAAAGAAGTAGAGGAAACAATGACAATAGTAAGGATGAAGGGGGGGGGGGGGGGGGGGGGGGGGGGATGCAATGGGGGGGGCAGCAGTTCCCCCTTAGTTGTTCCGGCACAGTATGAGCATGACAAAGATAAATCAGCCCAATTACAGTTCTACAACGGTGTTGTTAGATAAAAGGATAATGTTAAAGTATGCCTTCAGCAATAATGTTATTTGGCAATGTGGGGATTTGTTTGTGAAATAGATCAATGATGATGATGATGATGATGATGATGATGATGATGATGATGATGATGATGATGATGATGATGAGGATGATGATGATGATTCCAAACAATGATGATGATGAAAATGATGATGATGATGATGATGATGAAAACGTTTTTTCTTAAATTATATGTATATCATATTTTACCTCATCCGTGAAAGGAATGGTGATGGACACAAGGACCTCATCAATGGCCACAGCTGTTTTACGATAACCTTGGAAAAATGTGTTGTCCATCGGCACCGTACGAGGTCCTCTCTCTAGGGAGGAAAAAGAGAGCGAGAGAATATTTTCAAAAACAGAGTGGGGTTTTTTTTTGGTTTTGTTTGGGGGGGGTAGTAAGTGTTTCCCGGCGCTTGCAACTGCATATTACGGTCATATGAGCGCGCAGGACACATTAAACATTTACAGTAGGTAGGAAATTTTGAATTTTCCCCGGGGTGGTGGCCGAAGCCTACTCTTATCAATTTTAGACTACCAAGGGGTCTTTAACGTGACCAACTTGCACACGAGACCTCCTAGATTTTTCGCCCTTGTCTGAGAAGGCTAGGTGTAGATCTTTCCTACCATAAGATCAGGGGTGTGGCTGAAAGACAGTAGTAATAAGGAGCCAAGGAGTAGCAGTAGAATGGCTGCAGAATGAGTCAAGAGCCCAGAGGAGGGGACAAGGAGGTGAGGGGGTGGGGCAGAAAGTAGAGACAAAAGCAGACGACAGAACATTGCTAGAGATCAGGAAAGAAGGTGAAAGGAGATAATTCTTAGAAGAAAGTTTTCCGTTGCTATCTGGATTCGAACCTATTAAATGAGAGGTGAACACCTTAACCTCTTGGCCACGAGAGCCCCCAAAGCAAAGTGTGAGAAGCGGGAACTGCAGTGAACAATTCCATTTTCCGCGTGACGGATATTTATAGTATTTTATATAAATTTGTGAACAATTTGTAAAAAATTCATCCTCAGCTGTTGTGAAAAAAGTAGGGTATAGTTAAGACAAATTGATACAAACCGCTGTGCAAAGTTTGGATGACACCGATTCAATGGTTAAAACGATATTTGAGGATAATTTTTTATCGCACTATAAAGTAAAGGCAAGCAAAACGATAGCACTGTTATCGAACAAATTTTAGCATTCACTGAGTTAATCAAGTATAATGAACCAACCAATCAGGTATATCGTCGACCAATTATCCAGTTCAGATGCACCAAGCCCAACAGTTCTAATTTTTTTTTCTATGTCAGTTTCTTAATAATTGTCACCGTTGCATGTGGTCAAGAAATAATATCTGTGTGTAAAAATTCAAATTCCAAACATTGAAAAAGGCCCGAAAAGATGCATAACATGAAGTAGGTACGAATCGTTAAAAGAATGAAACAGTTCGGTTCTCTCTCTCTCTCTCTCTCTCTCTCTCTCTCTCTCTCTCTCTCTCTCTCTCTCTCTCTCCTGAAAAATAGGGCTTATGGTACGAAAGAACATTTGCCTAGCCTGCAGACAGTGGAAACAGGCAGGCGCTTGTCAAAATTTTAGAGCATATTCAGTTATTGGTATAATCTTAAAGCGTTTTCATTTGCTTTGCTTTTGATGGAAAAGAAATGCTCATTTATCTAGAATAAAAGTCGAGATGTTCGCGATTGTTGAAGGAGGCGGGGGTTGTCCGACTTCAGAGAGGCAAAATTAGCATTAAATAAATGATCATCAAAGTTCGGTGACTTCCAAAGCTGTAGAGTCCTTAGAAACTACAATTTTATATTCTGGTGCCTTTGATCAATGTTTTTCCAGTAAAACCAAGCAAGAATATTTTTATTGCTTTTTTGTTGTCGTTTTTTGTTGTTGTTGTTTTATTGGGCTTTGTAAGGGTTTTTTTTTTTGTTTATATGCTGGCGGTTTTGTTGTTGTTGTTGTGTTGTTTTATGGTTATTGTTGTTTTGGTTGTTTGTTTTTTGGTTGTTTTCTTTTGGGGGGTTGGAGGGTGGGGGGTAACAGACATAAACGGTTTTGTGCCCAACGAAAAAAACAACAACACATATTTCCCAAAGCGCAGAGAAATGCCGGTTTCTTCAACTTCATTGTTTTGACGAGCGCCTGATTCCACAACGATGCCTCACATAACACATATATCATACATTGTATGTCACCTTTTGAGAGGAGTGAAAGAGTGGCGCCGGCAGCCAGGAGCAGAGGGTTAAGGTCAGAGATAGGGCTGGCGGTCAGGACGTTTCCACACACGGACTGTAAGAGAGAAAACAACATTGCACAGATTAAACCTCTCCGTACGTCTCGTGGTCATTTTGTATCCTCGGGGTTGTATTCTTCTCATTTTAGAATACTTCTAGTACGAAGATCTCTTTGAAACTTTCAGTATTTCTCAAAAATCATTTTGACCGAATACTATACAAAGCGTACGGATCGGATTAACGTGTAAATTTTCTCTTTGGAAAGTGGTGGCATAGAGTTCCCCACGTTGTATGGATATGGTTAAGACTCTCTTTTTTAATGGAAATGTTTTACTTTCCCATCGACACTATTTTGATCATTTAGGAGGCGGGCTTCCGACTGAATCTGCCAGGGCCAACCAAGACTTAATCAGAGGGTTACAACATCTTCGCAGAAAGACTGAGATGTTCCATAGAAATTTCTCCCCTCTGGGATATCGAACTCTGGTCTCCTGCGTGCGACACCGAAGTGCCTAACCACTATATCGTAGCAGATGCCAGTGAACCCCCCCTTGACACTTTATTCCAATGTAAATATAAATAAGAGTTTGCAAAATCCTTCCCTTGCAGCATCTTAGAAAGCTCTCCAGTACACTTTGTCCATCAAAGGAATTTGTTACTCCCTCTCATCCTGACTCGGCCCAGTGACAGAAATATGCAATGTTTGACCCATGATAAGAGATATGTGCACAACCTGTACTTATTCATTATGGAAACTTTACTTATCAAATGAGTGTTTTATGTGATGTGATGTGGACCGATGGCCTTAAACACTGAATAAACTTACTTACTTACCAGTAACACAACGGTACCGCCAAAGAAGTATTCGTAAACGTACTCACTGCAACATTTCTTATCTGGTGACTTGCGAACCACCTGAGCATCTCAATAACAGCAGCAAACGTCCTGGTTTTGTATTCTGAAACACAGAGCCCAGACATAGCGATATAATGTGAGAATTAGCAATCTTTATCTTTTAAAAACCCAGTCTTTTTGGGATTATTTTCAGGAGGGCCACAGAACTCATTTCATAAGCTTCTTTTCTCTGTATTTTTCTTCCTTCTCTTTCTGTTATTTTTAAGAGTGACTCATTCTTTTGCTTTGAGAAAGAGAGAGAGAGAGAGAGAGAGAGAGAGAGAGAGAGAGAGAGAGAGAGAGAGAGAGAGAGAGGGGAGAC